AGTTGTAATGAATAAGATTAAATCTCAGTGTGGAATAATTAGTTCTAATTGTTCCTATACTAATGTTTTGACATTAATGTGATTTGTCTTTAACAGATGTTTCAACACACCATAGATCGTGTCCTCAGTGCCACATGGTCTACAGATACCAGGAGTGGACAGATGGGCTTCGTAACTTTGACAACCACATTGTTTTATCTCTTGACCTCTGCCTTTTTTTGAGAGAAAATCTGCAGGTGATATACTATACTCATCTGAAGAGTGCTTTAAAAATATGTTTGTGTGTGATTATGATATGTTGGTGCCCAAATTTAAATATCTGTGTAATCACAGTCTTCTTCACCCTATTGTCATATTACAGAACCATGTATCCGCTTCAAGGGTCATTAACTCACTGGAGGGCTTAAGAAGGGTGCAGTTTCCTTCTAGGGATACCATTTTTCATGCTTATTGCCATTTGCCACCCCTGTGGTAGTTATGGAGAGAAAAGGGGTGTTCAAGTTAGCAGGTAAGTTTAATCTACATTTGTGTTTATACTTCATTGTGTACGTCATGTGCATGTTCTTATGAGTAGATTTATTATAGTGAGTTACCTCAAAGCCCCTGAATACTTCAATGGTGCACATGACATTGAAGGTTTTTGGAACTCTATTCACCTGGAAATGATAAGCCGTGGGTTTTTTCCAAGTGAGTGATGGCAAAAACTTATTGACAGTCATTCAGTGTTTCAAAGTAATTTAGATTGTAAATAAAAGCATGCCACTTTCTGTAGGCTGAGTGAAGAATCCATTTTCAGTTCCACCAAGTTACACGCACTGGGCACCATGGATCGGGAGTGAAACTCGAACAAGTGACATTGTGCTTAACACAGAGTTTCAAAAAGTAAGAACAGGTGCTTCACATGAAGCAAAGCTTAGCAGTGTCACAGAAGACCGTCTGTTTGATGAACTCGCCAAAAACAAAGGTAACATTTCTTTGAAGTTTTCAGAATATGTGACATAAAGTTCTGGAGTTGTTCCATTTGCAGTTTTCCCTAATTACTGTCAGGTTGGAGTGGTGAGAAAATTGTGTAAAGCATGCAACATCAACTCCAAAGACTCCCACTTTGATCTCATCACCAGACTGAGGGAGAAGATGAAGAGCAGGCAGACATATGATAAGGTCTTTCAAAGCATATGGTGTGCCTCTGGTAAGCATCACTTAGTGATGAAATTAAACAATTTGAAGGTGAAATACAAACGTAAAATCAAAAGAAGTCAAAAATGACTGGTTGTATTTTTAATCCAACAAATCATGAAAAATTAGATTAAATTTTTTTTTCATGACAGTGCAGATTTCTGACATTTTGTGTAATTTAAGTTGGGCATACACTGTGCAATTTTTTGCAGTTGCGTTATTCAGCTTCTGCTCAAACTGCACGATTGACTCGCAGGAGTTAGAAGTTCGCAGGGTCATATTCTATATGGCCCGATGCTCTGATGCAACCTGAGCACTCACTTTGTGCGTCCATAACATGAATATTATACCTTAAGAATACCTTATACCTTGAGTGAAACTTAAGTTACACTTGTGTTTGTAAATGAACCGCCCAATGCTGTGTAGCTTTCTGGATTTTATACTTACTGGGCTTCATATTTATTTATTATACAGGCTATATAGTAAATAACATCAAAACTCATGTTTTATGTAACTAAAGTGTTTAATTATGTGGGCTACAGAAAATAATTAAGTTATAGACTGTATTTATATGAAAAACGTGTATACTTACTGCATTTGAATCACTTTAACCAGACGTAACTGTCAGGGGGTTGCAGTGTGGGTGAGGGAAGGAGGACCCAAATGCTGGACTCACAGGTCGGTGAAGGCTGGTGTTTATTGCAGAACGAAATGAATGAACAGAACTGAAGCAGGAAATGGCTGGCTGGCTCGCTGACTGACTGACTGAACTGAACACATGACAACCTAACAGCGACAATGACACGACAGTGAACTGGTAAAACAGAGGAACTTAAATACACAGACTGAATGATGACGATAATTGGAAACAGGCGAGTACACGGCTGAACATGAAACAGTTAAATGGAACATGTGGAAAAAACAGTGAACATGAACTGAAAACGCTGGGTCAATGACCCAGGAATCCTGACAGTAACCACCTGCATGTGTGTTTGAAAAAAAACAGCTTTGATTTTGCCTCCCCATTTGATTTCTTTGCCACCCTAAGAAAATTTCTCTAGAGCCGCCCCTGGGTGAGAGGTATATTTCGAGCGGTACAGAGAGTGGCCACTGGCCAACATATTTTTTTTTTTACTTACCGTTAATAAAGCTGGTTGCGTAGACTCTCTGTGATCGCCGATTATACGAGTGGTTATGCAAGCCGATAGTATGGTGTTCCGGGGTTCAAATAGTGGGTTCGCGCGCGCTTCCAGTTTAGACGTGAATTGTATTATTTTTTTTATTTTTATTTTTTTTGTTGAAACACTGTAGGCTGCCTTGAAGTGGCCATAAATGTCTGTATACATGACGGCCAACAATAATGAACATCGATTATTGTCGGTAAGTATCCAACTTAGACACAAAAAGGCCTATGCTACTAAAAAAATACACTTAACCACATAGAAATAATCAAGCTATAGAGTTAACACTATATTTACAATAAAGATAATAAACTATCACCATCTTCAGGGATAGACAATCATTCTGGAAAATACAATAATTATAATTCTACAACTGTTTACAACTTGCATAGTTCATATTTCTGTATAGTTTTCATATTTATATCCCCAAAAGACAAGGGTTGAATTTTAAAAAGAAAAAGAGCAGGGAAATGTCCCATGCTAAAACCAGTTTGATGTTAAATGCAAAACATGCCATTTCCGATAAAACAACAGATAAAAAGTCTACATTGAAACATACATTTTAGAACAGTATATAATTTAGTTGCACTCTAGGCTGAGTAGATTTTAATTGTCCCCAGTTAGTTTGAAAGGTCATTTAAAAAAACAAAAATTTCATCATGGATTTTTGTACCATGGAGCTAATTAGCACAAAGGGATTGAGCTTGATAGCAAATTGCCAAAAAAAAGCCACCTTGCATTCAGACATTACTTGCAAATACAGAAAAACTGATGCCTGAAGAACTGGACGTACAGCTGGCAATACCTGCACAACAAACATAGTCTGAGGGGATCTGAATTTATTTTTGCTTAAAAAAATCACTGCAATCAAAACTTGTGACAAACTAAATTCATATGAGTACCAGTTTTGAGAGCAATAAAATAAAAAAAAGATACTGATAATTGAAATGGTGAAGAATGGAACCCCACAATCATCATAATGACTATCATCCTTCCCATCCATGATACTGATAAAATAAAGATGTAAACAAGTGGCGGAAATGAGCTTCCTCCGAAGGGTGGCTGGCATCTCCCTTAGAGATAGGGTGAGAAGTTCGGCCATCCGGGAGGGGCTCAGAGTAGAGCCGCTGCTGCTCCACATCGAAAGGAGCCAGCTGAGGTGGTTTGGGCATCTGGTAAGGATGCCCCCTGGGCGCCTCCTGGGTGAGGTGTTCCAGGCATGTCCCACCGGGAGGAGGCCCCGGGGCAGACCCAGGACACGCTGGAGAGATTATATCTCTCGGCTGGCCTGGGAACGCCTTGGTGTTCCCCCGGATGAGCTGGAGGAGGTGGCTGGGGAGAGGGAGGTCTGGGCCTCTTTGCTTAGGCTGCTGCCCCCGTGACCCGGCCCCGGATAAAGCGGATGAAGATGGATGGATGGATGGACAAGTGTTTTGTTTATTTGTTCTTTTTTTGGGAGTTGGAGTGAAACAGAAAAATGACTGACTGATCATGCAGATACATTTGTAAGGAACAACACAACTTGAAATACTAAACAACCAAAAATGACATTAACAATGAAATGTTTGTACATACTATCTTATTGCCACACACCAGTCTAGATGCATTAGGTTTTAAAGAAATTATTGACATTGTTTTTTCAATTTTACCACAAATAAATAAATAAACATGGAAGGTCATTATTGTCTGAGTTTTTAAGGAGCTTGGAAAGAAAAGCATCTGGACTTCTTTAAGTTGCTTGAAGACGTTTCACTTCTCATCCGAGAAGCTTCTTCAGTTCTAAGGTCAAATGGCGGAGAGTCCCAGATTTAAACCCAGTGGGAGTATCCCCCCAAAGAGGGACAAAAGGACCCCCTGATATCCTCCCAACAACTGTGGGATACTGTTTGTCCGTGATTTGAACCGGGGGAACAAATCGTGGCAGAAACGGCCTGATGTTATTTGTATCCCACTGTAACTTTACTGTATAAAGAGCTAACATCTCCAAAATGTCAGGAGTAGTTAGTCATTACAACAAGTGTTTGTGAACTAAAAATCAAGAATGTGGGATACTGTTTGTCCGTGATTTGAACAGCCCAGCGCGTGGTCCCAACAAAGGGAAAAGCAATTATGCAGGGGAGACCTACCTTGGCTTGTGTAGGTGAAACCAGAGGGAAGAAATGCTTCACCATATTTTCTACTCTTCGGCTTAGAATGAAGTTGGTTTGGAAACATATTCAGCAATGTTTCAACTCCTACTTTGTGTTTGTGTGGGTGCCCCATGCTAGCAGTGTCCAAGTGTTTTTTGGTTTTTTTTCCCCTTTTCATACCGTGCCCCCCTGCAATGGACAGGCCCCACACTTTGGGAAGCTCTGGTCTACCTAATCACATGAGCCAAGGTGTGAAAACGGGTGTGGGTTACAATCAGCCAGGGTTTCGGGTGAGCTCATTGTGAAACCTGTGTGTGGGCTTCCGGTAAACTTCGATGTTGAGGTTGCCATTCTCTTCAATGTGCACAGCGCAGTCCAGGAAAGGCAAACAGTTATCCTTTGTGTCTTTCCTGGTGAACTTGATGTTTTTATTCATGGTGTTAATGTGTGCAGTGAAGGATTCCACTTCTTTTCAACGCTTCAAATCACCCATTCCTCTAAAGATGATCAAGAATTTCTGAGATACAGTTAGGTCCATATATATATTTGGACACAAACAAAAAAAATTTTCAAAGGTAATTGGACACTTGATTCAAAGGCTATTTCATGGGCAGTTGCGGGTAACTTCGTCATTATGTCATCATCAAGAATTATGTTCTGTCAGTGCGCCCCAGGGTGGCTGTGGCTACAATGTAGCTTGCCATCACCAGTGTGTGAATGTGTGTGTGAATGGGTGAATGACTGGATGTGTAAAGCGCTTTGGGGTCCTTAGGGACTAGTAAAGTGCTATATAAATACAGGCCATATGTTCATGCAGGTGAAAACAAGCCATCCTTAAGCAGCGAAAACAGAGAAAAACCCCATCCAAGAAATTGGATGGGAAACCAATTACAAGGTAGGCATATTGATAGTCTAGCATAAAGAGAAGACTGCATGAAGGTAAAAACAGAAGGTTCACTGCAAGATCCAAGTTATTCATAAGGCTCAAGAACAGAAAGGTTAGATTGGACAAAAAAATCTAAAAAAGCCAGCCCACTTCTTGAAAATCATTCTTTGGACAGATAAAGCCAAGATCAACCTCTACCACAATGACAGCAAGAAAAAGTATGGAGAAGATGTGGAACATTCTCATGATCCAAAGCATACCACAACTTGGGAGTGTAAGGCTGCCAGTGTCACTAGAACACTAGTGTTTGTTGACCATGTGACACAGGACAAGCAACCAAATTAATTCTGAAGGGTAAAGAGCCATATAGCCAAAGCAACAGCCAAGCAGGAGTTTAATAAAGCACAGAAGTGCTTAAACCGAATTGAGCATTCACTTCCCTTGTTGAAGAAAAAACTTCGGACTGAAAAGCCCTCAAACAAACAGCACCTGAAAGCCGCTGCAGTAAAGGCCTGGCAGGGCATTAAAAAAATTGGAAACTCAGGTTGTGATGTCCATGAGTTAAAGGCTTCAAGGGTTTTCAACCAAGTATTAGTACCGAACATTTAATTTTCAGTTATTTAATTTGTCTAATTACTTTTTAGCCCCTGAAATGAAGGAATAAAATGCTTTAGTTCCTCACATTTTTATGCAATCTTTCTGTTCAACCCACTGAATTAAAACTGAAAGTGTGCAATTTCAATGCATCTGAGGTGTGTTATTTAACATTCATTATGTGTTAATGTACAGAACCAAATTTAAAAAACAAACAAACCTGTGCCTCTGTCCAGATATTTATGGACGTAATTTTACTGCACACCATGATGAAATACGCCAAGTTTTCAACTAACAGGTCTTTGGAAATCACCTTATCGTTAAAAAAAAGAAGAAAAAAAGAATGAGAAAAACATTTTAAAAACATATATGTATGCAGGTTTATTTAACTTTTAAGACAAATAAAAAACAAATCAATTTACAATGCAGACCAAAGACCATGTTTTAGTTATTTAATCTTTTACACAAAGCTGCCACATTTGAGACACCAGAGTATGGTATATGGTAGCGATAGTATAACAAAGTGGTTCTCAGAAATTTTCTGCTATGCCCTGTCTTACAAAGTTGATCCCAGGAAGTCATTAACAATCAGTAAGGTGCAAGTCCTGTAGTTAAAGGTCAACATTAACACATAACCAGACTGTTGGCTGTTTATTGACATTCACAAAAGTAACAAACAAAGAATCAAAAATATATATATCAGTTTATTTTAATTTTACCTCAGTTTGTCCCCAGGTAATCCATGCTTTTATACCAGTGTCTTTGTGAAGCCACCAGTAAGTAATACCTCATAATTTTAATGTGTAAAGATATGATGCCAAAGGGAAGACATTTTTACTGGGTTTCACTTTTTCGCCAGGTTTTAAAGAGCCAAATGTGCCTTGGCTGTTTTGTTGCATGCTAAATTCGGGCTTAGGATAGGTTAAGGCTTTGCATATAGCTTTGATGGCTAAGCTTGTGGAAAGGTCAAATGTAACAAATAACCATTAGTGTAAAAATAAAAACAATGCTGTCTACACTTCAGTAACAAGAGAAAATTAGCTCAAGGTGTACAGTTAAAATACATATACAAGTGCATCGAATGCTAAGAAGGATTAAGACAGCTAAATATGTTTTAGTAAAAAATATGGAGGTACAAAAAATACTTACTTCTAAATACTTATTTACTTCTAAGACTAAATCTAAACACTGATTTAGCAACAATGACTTGATTGGTCAGATACTGGTCAAAAGTCATGCTTCTCAGAAAAAAAATTTGGTATCTCTATCATTCACTGCAGTAAAAGTTCGTACCTAAAACAGATGTGCAAAAGTTCAACTAGGAAATCAACAGGTCTGTGAAAACAACATGAAATAAGGGAAACAATTTATCCTCGTCTGTTGTTGTGTCAGGAGTTGTGATAAGACCAAAGCTATCTAACAGACTCCAAAATGAGTCACAGTCTAACTAAACCTGCCTGCTGTCGAAATGGAAAGTCAAGAGTACACTGGAAAAAAGTGGCAAGCCACTTAGCAGCTGAAATTGCAGTGCATTTTGGAAACTCAATGTTTTACTGTAGTGCTTGTAATACATGACTTTATTTTGATTTTGATATTGAACATAAAACATAAACTCTATATTTCCTGACTTTGCTTTCTGTCTCAAGTTTGTATACTCATAAGAAATGAACTCAACACAAAGCAGATGATCAGAGGGTTTCCCTGACATTACGCAATTTGAGATCCGACAATCAAGGCGGTTGCCTTTGACTGGCCATCCAGAAGGTGGTTGGTCCACTGAAGAGCTCATCAGAAATGGATTCCAGGGGTTTACCCTTTCTAACTAGACAGTTTGATCTGACTGAAATCATAAATTGCTCTTTTAACTGTTCCTTTCCTGTTTATTCATACTTTCAGTGAGTATTCTGAAGTAAGATTTTGAACAGCAGTGTGCATCTGGTACCATAATATTTCCAGGCCTTCAGTCCATATACTCAGTTTTTTGGCACGGTCTCTCATTACCATCTCATGGACCAGAACACTCATTTTAGCAAAAATAATACGCTAAGTGATCAAGATTAAGGAATGATCAGAGAAACCTCTCCTTTCTAACTAAACTCTCCTGGAAAATGTTCAGACTTAATGTTTCTTATAGATAGTTAAATGAAAAAATTTAAGCAGGATAAGACCTTAGATTTTAATTCAGTGTGCCCCAGAGCAGCTGTGGCTACAATGTAGCTTGCCATCACCAGTGTGTGAATGTGTGAATGACTGAATGTAGTGTAAAGCGCTTTGGGGTCCTTAGGGACTAAGTAAAGTGCTATACAAATACAAGCCATTTACCATTTAATAAAAAAAACCCTAAAATAATAAATCTGGCAAAAAGGAGGATCTTTTATCTGTATAAAAAAAGTCCCTGATGAGTGATTGAGATTCCTTTTTATTTTAATAAAAAGGACAAAGGCAGGGCTGCATAGTTATAAAATTATATACTAATGATACTGGTTGAAATTACAGAGCAAGTGTTTGCACCCTCAGCTTTGGTTGCTCAGTAGTAATTGTACACCAGACAGACAGATTACTGCATTCAAGGAGTTGTCTGGTGTGAGTGTTTGTACTGTCTGCGAGCTGTTTTGAACCCACTGTCTGCGTGGGCTTTCGTGGTGTACTGCTGATACATCTGTTGTTTAATATGAACAGGCTGTGTGTCTAAACTTGTGCTGGTACTGTACATTTTAAACCTAAAAATGTACAATTAACATTGTTACCCTTCATGAAGGGTAGTAATAATAAGCAGGTGGGAAAAAACAAAAACAGCTGTTGTTCATGACAACAGGAACAGGCAGTAAAAGCCACATCCAAAATGCTGTGGCAGTGGGAGTTACATGCAAGGAGAGTGGGAGTCAGTTACCAATGTTTTTATGCAATTACTGCAATTTTAAAGTAAGACAAAAACATTTATAAACCTGAATCACAAAATAAAAGGGATTCGCGGGTAGGAAAGGTTACCAAATACCTCCATCTATTCATCTGTATGTTTACCAGTTGACTGTGGAATGACACGTTGGTGGAGGTATCGGTCCAGATGTTGTCCCTTATTTGTTCCCACAGCTGTTAGAGGAAGCCGGGGCAGAAGATTAATTCAAAATTGCATTTAATTTCAACTGAACATGAAAAGACTTTCAGTTTATCTGCTAATGAACGTTTAATATTATAAAACTATTATAATTATAAACGTTTAATATCCTAGACAATAGTAATGGAAAAATTATTATTTTAACTTCTCAGCTGCTTGAAATTGTTTCCTCAAGAAAAGCATATTTAATAAAATGCCTTTTGCATAACTAAAACTATAAATATACCTCAGATAATAGAGTTTTACATTAAATTCAAGTAAAACTAATCCCAACCAAGGCAAGAGAAACTCAACTCCCAATAATAATGTCATTTATATAGATCATCAACTAATAAACTACCTGTGGTATTGCAACATACTTTTTTAATAGAACGAATTATGAAATATGTTGCTTTAAGAAGTAGTCAGCCCTTGATAATGCTGCAAACAGCTAGAAATATGTTACAATGTGTCTTTCAATAGCAGCTTAGTTACAGCCTATTATTCTTAAGAACAATTCAGAATGAACATCTGCAAATGTCAAGTTAATGCACCAGTTTCATGGTCGACCCTTTAGTTATTAAACTAAGCAATGGCTCAACTATGTTTATTAGAAGATTCCAAAGGAAGTTAAAGAACAACTTGCAGTAAAGCAGATACGAGGAGAGACATGCACAACATTGTTTAAACCTCTTAACCACAATAGTGCTAGACCACCCAAAACATAAAGTCATTAAAGTAGCATTAGTCAACACAGTCACTAGAAAAATAATACTGATCATCACTCTGATTCTTCCAGCATCTGTGTGGGCAGCATTAGTCTTATTGATTAAAGTCTTACTGTTGAAGCATCCAGTGCTTCTGTCTGTGCAATATAAAGGCATGAAAAAACCCCTAAAAAGGGTTTTAACTACGTTAATGGTAGAGCTTAAAATGAAAGACCCCTCCGTGAATCGCTACCTTATCGTTGTGGAGGGGTTTGTGTGTCCCAGAGATCCCAGGGGGCTATTCTGTCGGGGGGCTTTTCCCCCTAGTAGGATCTCCCAGGCCCTATTTGTTTCATTTCTAGGTTAGTCCACACCCCACATAGCAAGCAGGTCTGGCCCGGATCTGGTATCAAGCTGGCACTGCTGGTTGACTTCTGGCATGGTGAGTGGTATGTCATCCAGATATGGGCTAGGCCAGGCCATAGATGGCACTGTCTATGAGATGGCATGTTATATCTGGCTCGATTGTGGTTCGGTTTATGTGGCCCAGGCTCACAGAAAACAGGTCTGGGCCGGATCTGGCATCAAGCTGGCACTTATGACTGACTGGTGTCATGGCAGAGTGTATGTCAACCAGATGTGGGCCAGGTCTGGCAATGAGGCACTATTTATGTTCCTATTTGCTTATTTTAGTTAGAAGACCCAAATGCCATGTTGCAATACTATACAGATATGGTAGCCAGCGTTTCAAATGCAGGTTGGACAGGTTTGTGAGTGTACACTTTATCCAAAACCTAGTGAGGGTTTACCCATCTTTGCCAGTGGATGGCTGTAGCTCAGAAGGTTAGTGGTTCAATCCGCAGTATAAATGTGCATGAATGGGCTTAGAAAGTGTTCTATTGGGTAAACGTGGCATGTTGTATAGAGCACTTTGAGTAATAAGGGGGAAAGAAAAAGCACTATAAAAGAATCAATCCATTCACTGTCTGAACCGAGTTTCATCATGTTACTTTTGCTCTATTATGTTCCAGCACATGTTGTTATTACATGGCTAGATTAAGGTACACATTAGGCTGACATCTGGGGCCAGAGCTGAAACTGTTCTGGGCCAGCATAGGACCAGCAGTGTGTCTGCAACTGGCCCATGGCTACACACAACTTACACATGGCCCACATACCGCAAAGAATGACAGCCTTTTGGTGGCCCAGATCAGCAAAGGACCACCAGTGTGTCTGCAACTGGCCTTGTGCTGGCCCATGTGTGGGCCACCTCTGTCAAACCAGCTCTGGGCCACCAAAGGGCCGTCATTCTTTGTGGTATGTGGGCCATGTGTAAGTACATTGTGTGGGCCAGATCTGGGCCATACCAATTTCGCTATGTGGGACACTTCTGTAAAAGCTTTTGAGGAAATTATCCCATTTGAGACCCTCAAAACTGATCTGTTTGATTTTGAATTGTCCAAAAAAAATAAAAGAAAAAAGAAAGAAAGACATTTATATTGTTTTCCAGCCCCTTGAATTAAACCTGAGTCTGGACTGTACCTGCGTTTGATTTTTTACCCTTTTCTACTTACCAAAGATTACTAGACCCAGTTGTCCATTATGTCCATATACTGTTATATCAGAATGACTACATATTATACCACATATTAGCTATGTTATTGTTCAAAGTACCTTTTAAAACGTCCAGATTTATAAAAGTACCATGCTGCAGCCCCAACATTCAGGGAAAGCAAAACAAGAAATAATGCCCAGGCAACACGGCATGTTCCTGCAGGGACACAAGAAGAAACAATATCATGGGAAAGAAATTAAATATTGTTCTTTCTCACTTCCTTAACACTTAGTTTTATATTTCACATTCAAAACTTCCTTGTATTTTCAAGTTTTAACGTACAAAAATAAATTAGATGAACTTGATATGACCCTGAAAAAAGCTTTCACAAGCTAGGACACGCTCTGAGATTCTGTCAGTAAGGCAGAATAACATGTATTAATAACATGTGTTGCACTGGGTGAAGCACCAGTCAACCATTCATCACAACATCCACAAAAAGCTCAGATCTAAAAAAAAGAAACAAAAAATAGATTTGAACAAACTGTAACAGCTAAGACCTCACCTGATGTCACATGCACATAGAGCTGACCGTGTTTACTTCCATATGCGTTAGATGCTTCACACTGATAGAGTCCATTTAGATCAGATGTCAGGCTGAGCAGTTGTAGGTTTGCACCGTCTACTTTGACAGCAGACTCCAGCAAAGACTGGCCAGATCTAGAAAAACACGAAAGAGACTCAACATGAAATGTACAGAGAGAGCAGAAAACTGTTGTACCAAAAGTCAAATACATTTCAGTTATAAGCTATTTGTTATAAATCTTTACTTTCTCACACTAAGATTTTGTATAAAAAATAAGAGTAAATGGCACTTTTCATGTTAATTTCTGCTTTTTTGAAGAAAATCTTGTGTAAGGTTTCATGCCACTGTATTTTGTGCATATCAGCAGAGCCCTGCTAAATCTGTTCAAAGTACATCAGTCTACACATTTGTCTTCAATGATTGATGATTCAATGATTTGGGAGCATTGATTGGAGCATTCAATGTAATGCAGCTAAACAACATCAATTTCAGATATTAGACAATAAAAGATTCAGTTTCACCACATCTGATTCTCATTTATCTCACACGATTAACACTAGCAGAAAGAGCTTGCTCTCTCAAGTATTGAAAAAAAATATAGCCACTTAAGAATAAAAAAATTTGAAAATATTTAAAGCACTGCATTGGCCAGGGATTCCTCACATTTATTGGATCATCAGTGAACTACAGAGAGAGAAGCCAAAGATCGCTGAGTGACACTGGTGCAGTTTAATGTGAAAAGAGTTTATAAGTATGTGAAAAAAAAAATCACGTTATTTGTAATTCCACTTTTGTTTTATGAACATAGTGAATTTCTTACCAACAATTACATTTAAAAATGTCCCGACTTTAAGTATGAACATCATACATCATGAAAACAGCTTTCCCTGAAGACAAGGCATTTCTATAGTTCAGAACCACCTGATAAAATTATTTGTTTAGTTGCTATTTTTTGGAAAGCAGCATCCATATATCGACCGACACATAACTTATGGGTATGTGTATAAAAGTATAGTGAAAATGCAAGGCAGGGTGTCTGTACTGCTGTGATTGGCTGAAAAGCCGAGAAGACAAATTAATCATCAATGCTCACAGCTGACCTTCTTGAGAGCCTCTTTACCATCTGCCTTTCTACATCTAGTAGCAATAAAGGGCATGCTGAAGCAGTTTTCATTACTTTTGAAGAGCCTACCTAACAGATGCAGCAGGTAAATGTAATGCTTTAAGCATTTTGTGTTGCTGTGTTTATGTTTTGTTTTTAAATGCAATTTTTGACTGTTCTGCTTTTCCATTACTTTAAGTGGAAACACAGAAGCTGGGAACAATTCTTGCCTTTGTCACTGGAGCTAATACTCTTCCACCAGTTAGCTTCTCTCCACAACTTACCATTTAGTTTTTTTTTACCAACACCAATCCAGGAACCATGTCTAAACTACCTCATGGATCCTCATATCATGAACAAATTAAATGGTCTTGGGTTGCTTGGCTGCTATTACTTCAACAAAGAATTCTACACCCAACCCTAACATGAGATAATCATCTGTTGAATAAGAATTTTTTTTTTTTTTTAAATCAGGCAACTTTATGAATTTTACACTCTAGTTGTTGAAAACTTTCAGCAAGGTAACACGGTCGCAGTCTTGTTAGCTTTGTTGCCCAACACCAATATAGCCCTGGGTTTGAATCCAAAAGTTTGGACTTATAAAGATCTTACTAAACACAAAAACCTTTTAACTATTTGGAAGCAATATCTAAAAACAGTAAAAGGCTAATGTAATTGTCCGGACATTGTAACAACAATTAAATAGAGCTCTTATGCAAAATTCTAGTTTATCTTCACATTTAGACTTTATGTGTTTAAAATCTCACTATAGGGTTTGGTATAACCTTTGTATGCTTAGGTGAAGTGTGTGTGTGTGTGTGACAGTATGACGTCGTAATGATGTTTCATTATGTTATCTGCTAACTGTTTGCTCAGAAGGATGAAACTCAGAGCCAGTGCCAGGAGCTTCCTGGGAAAAGATAGTGGGAGTATCTTTTAGGTCTTCCTCCACAGGGCGTGGGACCTAAAGATACAGAGAGTTGTGTGTGGAGGGGTAAAAGAGAAGCATCCGAAGGGCAGAGCAGGCATGACTGTGAACTGTGATGTTTGATGTGTGTGTTGGCTCTCCTGCCCAGAAATAAATAGCTTGACCATAGCTTTTTCCGTGTTGCAGACTTTATTCCACTTTATTCCATTTTGCAAAATTCCACAACAATACTGACTCACTGTTGGTATATGTATTAAATAGCAATATTTAAGTCCATCTAATTTTCTTTGGACACATGGGCAGCATCTCTGTATTCCCATTCACACATGGAAAATCCAACATTCAATTAGTCATCATGTACGTGCTCTAGCGGTCAAGACAATGGCATTACCGAAGACACCAGTGTTACAGTATTAACCTGAAGTGACCTCCCTATAACTTCAAAGTAGTTATAGTTCAGAGTTAAACCATCTAAAAGTTACATTATCAACCACATTATATATGTACTATACACAAATAAACTGGGTTTATATAGTTTATACAACGATATCAATTAAAGATCAAAGTGAGGCAATTTATGGAAAAGCAGCACACTTGATGGTCTCTCAAATGTAATCCCTGTTCATACAAATAAAGGTGAATCAGTTACACGTATAACTGAAAGTCTTATCTTTTCTCTGGCTATTGGCTAAAAGATTAGAAAAATAAAATCTCAATAGTCGAATCTTGATAGCATCTGCAAGAGCTTGCAAAAAAAACAAAAAAAACAAAAAAAAAACAGTACCTCAAATACTGGTATGAATGACGTTAATGTCAAAAGGTGACGTCGCTATCAATGAATCATATCCTTGGGTTCCCCTCCAGTTGCTCTTCAGTTTCTGGGATAACACCAATGGGATAGAAGTATGCATGCGGAATAGCTGCAGGTTCAAGTAACTGCCTGTTCTTTTTTTTTCATTTTTTAAATTTTCTTTATTTTTTGCTCAGACACATGAAAAATTAGAGGGAACATTGATCGTGGGACAGATATAAAGTGAGTAAAAAAACTACCTAAATGCATTTAGAATATATTTAGAACTATAAATTAAATTCTTTTAGCAATTATTGTTTTTTTTAATGTCATAATTCCAACCCTCCTCCTTTATCCGGGCTTGGTACCGGTGTTCTGACAAACCATCCTACTTTGGCAAAACGTCTTACTGTAAGTAGTTTATGCACATTTCTCCTGTGACAGAGTCATTCCAGCACAAATGTAAGTAGGTATGACAGTTTGCCAACTTAACTTTGCCCATCAGAGTATGCTTGTAGCTCATATTCATAAAGCCAGGATGGTTTGCCACTTCATTTTACCCTTTAAGTATGCTTGTAGGTCACATTCACAAAGGTAGCATGGTTTGGCACGTAATTTTGCCCATCAGTCGCTAAGTTGGCAACACTGTTCATAAGGACAAAGACATGAGCTCACCGGTCCTCTGGCCAGGTCAGCTAACAATAACACAACTTTCCATGGTACCTTATCGTTAAGAAAAGAATGACCTCATAAACGTTTTAAAACAGCACCAGTTCTTTACTTTCTAAAAGGATTGCATTAATAGAAAAATGGCTCCTTTCTCTGTCATATGCGTGGGCATACATTTTCTAAATCCATGTTATGGATGTTATTTTCTTAACAAACTGAACATGAGGAACATTATGCTTCTGAGAGAAAGTGAGGTGGAGGATTTTTTTAGGGTATTAAATCACTGAGCAATTAAGTTTAACTGGCTGACATTTTGATCAGATCGCAGATTATGTGCTTAAAGTACTCACACTGAGCTTTCATCTGATATCATAGTCTGCAAATTATTTTGCAAAATCCACTGCCAGCACTACAAAAACTGTTTTTTACCCACATGTGTACACGTGCCTCTAAATACAAGTCTCTTTCTCTCTCAGCATTTAAATGAATATTTCAACTGAAACCATTACTAAAACTGCTTTACCTGATCCAGGTGAATTTTGCATTTGGGTTAGCTTCTGTCACACACTCAAATGAATCCTCTGAAATTGCTGAAATTTTCACTTCTGTAGGAGAAACTGCAAAAAACAAAGAAAAAAAACTGTAAATCCCGAACTAAGGAAATACTAATCATTCCGAAATAATGTTTCATACATGTTTGAACCCTGTCACGTCAGGCAAAACCACAAATCTTGGTTTTCATTCAGTTTCAAAGATTAATCCTTTCAAACACATTCAAAGGTGTCACCGGCTCACGTACAGTCACTTTATACTAAAAACCAACATATTAGGTTTCTTGATCTTTTGGGGAATTCCAGCAGAAACAGAACACCACAGTTATATAACATCACAAAAAAAAAAAAAAGAGCACACAATACTTCATTTTCAAAACAGCCTCAGTTAATTTTACTTATAGTTTGACATATAAATTGCTTGTTTGATAATACCTAATGTATATATTATATATATAATGTTCTTCCTCTACCCCCCTGCAATTTTTGCACAAGTCGAGGAGAGTGTCAGGTTACATTTCACTGCGTGTTATACTTGTATAACTATGCATGTGACAAATAAAGAACCTTGAACCTATGGGAACTGCACAGATTTTCTCATTGGAAAGAGAATGATGCTAATTGAACTCATCATCTAGCTTGTGAAGACAGCTTTTACTTAGTGACATGGTGTTTTGTCATGCAGGAACCAGTAGGACATAACCTCAGGCCAGAAATTCTGCAGGACAGGCTGAATATCTGAAATAGTAGTTTATTGGCACTGAGAGGTGAAGGTCTGCAGAGAGAGCAACTAAAATTACGGAACAACTGACAAAAAGTGACATACATTATATTAATAATGTATCTAATAAGAATGCATGTATAGAACCACGTTGCACACAAATATTCCAGTATTGTAGTACCAGTCACTGAAGAAACAGACTTGTGTCTGGACTCAAAGTCAATAGTTTCATCTCACTGGAATAACTACTGTGGTATGACTTCACTGTATTTTTTGGTTTGCCTCCAATGATTACATGATCTCATCTTTTGCAATAGTGGTATAACAACACCCTTTATACGAGTCTAAATGTCGTCACTTAGTCTTAGTCGGTTTTTGAGGAATTCTCTCCATCTGCTGTGACAACCTAACATTAAGAGACTTAACACAGAGGCAAAGTCATGCCAGCAGAGATAAGGTTGCAACCGCAAATGCAATCCCCCTGCTAAAACCTTCTCCTGAACAAAGACAGAAATATGAGAACGTTTATGTCTGTTTTTGTATAAAACAGGCTGAGATTGATCCTGGGTGTGTTGGTGTACTTTATTAATGATTTTATTAAACTGTTAAAATTCTTAAATGAACAGTGATAAAAAAAAAGAGGAAAAATAATAAACTCCATGAACAGCTGATACTCACAGTAGACCTGTATGGTGAAGGCCAGGGTTTCTTCTGCAGACAGGGAGTCACCACTGATGACACACTGGACCTGGTGACCGTTAATCTTTCTTGTAGGAACACCAAACAGAGAGCTGACTGTGGTAGTCGTACCGTTGTCATACTGGGTGGAGTTTTTTGTTGTCCTCACTTTGTCTCCCAAAGCATCAGTGAGCCACCTCACTTCTGCAGGAGGCTTCGATCCAGCAGCCGTGCAGGTAGCAAATAAAACCTCTTCTGTGCCCAAAGTGGGAAGATTGTCCATCACACTTGTGAAAGGAGGCACTAGGAGATGTACAGCACACAAATAAGTTGACATGTAAGCATGACAGTAAAAGTAACTCTGTCTACATCGGTTATACAAACACCTAGAATATCTTAAAACACATTTCATTTGTATACCGAGCAAGTTTAGAGGTATCTCAATCTTCTGATTTCCACTTGGAAACAGGGTGAAGATGCACGTGTAGCTGCCTTCATCCTTCAGGGCAACATTGGATAACTGGAGAGTTCCATTTCTGTTGTTAAAATTCCCGATATATTTAAATCGATCATCACGTCCATTGACAAACTGTAGTCCATTTCTGGGTTGGATAGTAATAAAATTGTCATTATGAGGGTTTTCTCTAGTCTTCCTTTGCCAGGTAATCTGTGTCAGGTCATCATTGATATTAGTGACATGACACGGTAAGATGGCCGTACCTCCTAGAACCGCTGTCCCACTTCCACCAATCACCTGGAGACCTGTTAAGAGCATGAAACACTAAGATCAGACCTCAGCTTAAAGATAAGAGACAAGAGAGGATTTGCTTTACACAGATTTAAAATTACAGCTAAAGCAGTTAAATAAAAGTAGTCTAACATAAATGTAAATGCTGTAATTTTATTATTTTAATAAACCATATAACTTGGATGGATTAGATGCTGGCGTGATCACAGTGCACGTCTGCTTTACACAGATTTAAAATTACAGCTCCAAGTCCATCTAGGATAAATTGTTCAAAACCTAAGCAAAAACTCTCAGAGCATAGTGTCTGATTTGGTTATTGGGCCTGTACAGAACCAATTGGAGCCATGGGTGTGGCTTCCTGCTTTTTACCTAAAATGGGACACTCAGCTACAATGCGTCCAGGCTTCATACAATAAAAACACATTTTTCCCAGTTCAATATAGCAGAACTAGAAACGTTGGTACGGCCACTTCCTTTAGCATCAGGATGAGATATTTGTCACTAGTGCGGACTTAATGGGTGTCAGGGTATTTCATACATTATTCCAAATCAAGCACCATTGTGACAACTCAAAACAGTCTCTTTATTCAGTCTTGCAAAGTTACCATCCTCCAACAGCTCTTTTGTCTTATACTAACAAACAAAAGGAACAAAAGAAAAAACACTAGCAAAACAGTTTTAGTAGCTGTAGGCCACAAAGCACAATATAATTACAATACAACAAACCACAGTACAATAAAGACAATTAAAACTCAAAATACCATTTACCACACAAAATGTGACCGACATAAACACAACTGCACAATTTCCAAACTCAGACAAATAAAAGTAAAAAATAACCTGTTGGGTAATCGTAAAAAGTTCAACAAGCAGCTGTTGCTCCAAAATACACTGAAAATCTAAAGCATACGCAAGAATCCACGTGCTACCAACAACTACTTTTAAAAACATATTTGACTTGTTTTGCCTTATAATCTAAAACCTTCCAGGTTCCTACCTATCTGTAAAGTCTGGCTTCAATTGAATTTATTCAGCTGAAGATAAACTTGTCTTATATAATCAGCATTCGCCGAAAAAATGTGAACAAAATATAAAGTTTTTGAACTTTTCACTTTTTGCTTTATAAATAGCCTTACTGCTGTTTCGGTTTAAATTTAACTTCGTCATACCTGGTTTTTCATTTCTAGTCTGTTTTCCCTTCACTCACGTTATCTAGTCCCACATTTTTCGCTGTCAGATTTGGACAGCCTTCATTTGTAACATCCGCCAGATTATCTCCCTTCAGCCGCAGCCTATCGAAGTATGGAAAACAAACTACATACCGTCAGCTTCTCTGGCAAACAGAAGCGCAGATATTAGCAACAAACGACAAGTTATCAGGGAAAAATAGCGTTGCATGACTTCTCGCTGTAATTGCCAATGAAAAAACACAAAAATCCACTCGCTCTGCTTCTCCCACCTGCTGCTTGCGACACAGGGAGGGAAGGGCGGGGAGGCGGAGGATTCTCTGGCTGGCTGGAGCAGCGTCTAATAACCAACTCACAAAATAAAACAAAATAAAAACAAAACAACAAACACGAAGACACCAGACATTATGATACAGACTTATAATTTGTATCGATGTTTTTTCGAAATTCTGTACGCGAAAAGTGAGCGCGAGAGCCCTCGGTGCGCCTGCTCGCTGCTGAAGTCAAAGTAAACTGTATTGTCATCTCCGCTACATACAGTCTAGTACATAGAGAGACGAGACGACGAGGCTCCAGTTACA